TCTCTCTCTCTCTCTCTCTCTCTCTCTCTCTCTCTCTCTCTCTCTCTCTCTCTCTCTCTCTCTCTCTCTCTCTCTCTCTCTCTCTCTGTGCGATGAAGGTAGATATGGAGGGCAGAATCAGGAAGCAAAGAGAGAAGAAGAGAAGACTCTTCTCTCTGTGTCTCTCTACCTCCCATGGGATTAGATACTGACCGTGGAAGATGCAGCCTTGGGCTGGCTGATGCTGCAGGCGACGGGCGTCAGCTATGGAGACCAGGGTTGTCATGCGGGAATCCTGGGGGTCCGAGCTGGGGTTGGGGTCTTACCACCGGACCCCCGGCGCGGAGATCCCTGACCTGCGACCCCCTACTCCACCCCTCAAACCCCACACCTGCCCGAACCTCTTCACCCCGGCCCCCTACACCCTTGCCTCCGCCCCCGCACATCCACCCGCTGCGGGGAACCCCACCACCCCCCCGGCAGCGGGGAACCCCACCCCCCCCGTGCCCCTGCCGATCCCCACGCCCTGACCTCCGCCAGCCACCCCCGGTCCAGCACCAGACCCCCGCACCCGCTAATCCCCGCTGCCACAGAGAGAGAGAGAGAGAGAGAGAGAGAGAGAGAGAGAGAGAGAGAGAGAGACCCCCAGAGCCCAACACAGCACCCCGGGTCCCCCACCAGCAAGCCCCGCCCCGCACCTCACCTCCGTCCTCATCACCACCGGTCCCGCACCAGCAAACCCCCACCCCTGCACAAAGAAACACCCTGGTCCTGGCAGGGGAGGATCTATCCCCGGGGGAGGTTCCTGAGAGGCAATTTTTCTGCAAAATGTAGAATCGGGTCAGTAGCATAGCTGCGCACCTCCCCCTCAACTTCTTTTTTGGGGGGGGGAGGGGGGGGTGTCGGAGCTGGGGGTTGGGATCCCTGGCGGGGGTCTGGGACGGGGGTTGACAAGGCTGCTGGAGACCAGGCGATGGTACAGCAGGTAGACATCGAAGATACCTAGAGGTACTAGTTGGCTGCCAATGCTTCCATTGCCATGGGGAACAGAAATGACGCTAGGAGTCTAGTTTATTTTTGCATAGAATTCATATTAGTTATTCATTCTCATAACTAATTCATATTTTACCCTATAAATGAGAAATCGACATGGCAGAGGGCACAACCTCTCCACAACCGGATTTTCGGAAGCGTCAGAGGGCACAACCTCTCCACAACGAAATTTTTGGAAGTGTTGTCGAAAGCTTGAAATTCCGCTAAACCAGTACATGGCCCCAGGCAACTGGAGAACATATTTTGAGCCTCTGAAAATTGAGGAAACCGAGTGCCATAGACAAAATGAATCGGCGGTGGGCATCCCCTGAAAGGCGCCTGCGCTGATAGTTGGCATGTACGGGTGCCTTAAGATAACGAAATGTTCATGGTAAATATTGTAACCTTCTTTTTCTCTTAAACATCTCTAGGGGTAGCCCCACTTAGGAGGTGATACACGCATCTACCTAGAGTGGGTTTCCAGTTCAATGGCTCCTATCTAATAAGGTCGGGGAGCAATACCTACTGAGGCTACTGGAAATTGGTCCCAGGAAGGGGGTGACTGTCTTCCTAACATTCCCTTAACAGTCCTCCTTGGCCATTCTAACCTTCAGATCAGAGCTCCCATTCAGTGATTGACCCAAGTTACTTAGTCAGCAATCAAGGATATCAGGCGTTGCACGGGAGGGGAGGGGGATAATAGGCAAAGGGAGCTTCCCAAGTGATGGGCTGTCCATACTACCGTCTTCAGCCAAATATAGAACGTCCGGTCATTGTAGCCATATTTGGGGCAACTTTGAGACCGGATGCAGCTATAATGACTGGGCGTTCTATTCGGGTGAAGATGGTAGCCTGAGTGACACAGAAATCGGGATCCGGTGAGTTAGGAGTGTTTTTTTTCAAGGGGGGTGCTGACGGGGAGGCCCAGGAGGGCTCAGTCTCACAATTTTAAAGCGCCAACTTAGCGTTTTTTCGTGCTCGGAGAATTGACAAAAAAATCTGAAAATTTGAGATCCTGTAGATTCCGGGGTGGGAGCCGAGTCTCTGCCCTCTGAACCATACATGAAAGTTTTGAATGGGTCCCACATGTGTGTAAACATTCCAAACAACTTCTAAATAACTTCGTCAAAACCATCAGTACATAAGACTCCCTCTCGCCCTAGTGAAATAATTGATCCATCATCTACCCACCAGGTAGCTAATGACAATGGTGTAAGATGATTCA